GAGCAGCCATTGTTCTTCCTGAGCAGAGTGTATCCTTGGAGAAAGCAGGCTTAGCTGTGAGTAAGAAAGGACTTACTCTAAAGGAGCTTCTTCAACAAACAAGCCATCACAATGCTAAAGTCCGTAAAGGTACTCTCATGTTACTTTAACTTGTATGAATCCCTCATTCAAGAGTATGACTGAGTATATAAGGGAGTTTTTTTTACCTCTTTTATGAGTGCAAGAGAACTTAACTATGTTTTTTTTCTTTTCAGATGCCTTGGTTGGAATTAAGGATATTTTTCTTAAATACCCAGATGAATTAAAGCTGCACAAACTTGCTGTTATAGAGAAACTGCGTGAACGCATTAGTGATGATGATACGTTGGTCCGTGAAACACTATATCAACTTTTCAAGTCAGTTATTTTACCTGGCTGCAAAGAGGTATTCTTGAATGTGACTTTGTTAGTCTCAGTAGTAATGATCATTGTGATAGAGTAACAAACCAGAGCGTAAGGTTGTTATGACACGAGTGAATGTTATTCTTTTGAAGACTAGAATGCATTCTTTTTCTTTCCATGTAGTTCATCTCACTATTTATTTTTGAATGACTCAAGGTAATGTTTGGGAACTAGAACTCATTTGAAATTTTAAATTTCAATTCCAATACTTGAAATCCCATAATTTCAATTCCAAATGTTGTTTGGAAAATCATAGAATTCCAATTATAGAACTTGAATTTTGAAATCGGCAAAGACAGTGACGGAGGCGAGTTGTTATGTATGGAATTGTTGTTGCATAAGGGGAGATCACTCTTTAATTGCACGTTATAAATTAAAGAAAAGTTGGGCTTGAATTTGTAAATGACATAGGGAGAAGTGTGGATTTGTAATTGAGTTTGTTTTGAATTAGAAGAATTTTGTCCAAATCCAAATCCAAATTCTTTGAGTTCTCAAACAAGTAATTTGGTTGTCTTTTTCTATTTCAGGATGTCAAGGGGGCATTCATTTCCTTGATTATGGTGTACATTTTGAGTGCAATGACAAGCTTAGCAATTGACGTGCGGCTAATGGCTTTCAAATTTTTTGACCTTGTGATCCAAAACTACCCCTCTTCATTTTCCATATACTCTGAAAAGGTTCATGAAATCTGTTTGAATTACAAGTGATTTTTTGTTGCATATATGAACCTGCTGCAAATACTCCCTCGGTCCATTCAAAAGCCTTGTGGTTTGACTTTCATGGAGTTTAAAGAAGGGCTGAAAAGTGAATTGTGGTTGAAATTTGTTTATATAAAAGATGTTTTTTGGGCCATATGTTCATTTCTTTAAAAGAAAATGAACATATGTTGTTGTTGTTGTATGTTCATTTCTTTAAAAGAAAATAAAGTAGGAAGTATTTTGGTACATCCAATAAGAGAAACTAGAAAGGTAGATTTGGGACGGAATGAGTATAAGCTTAGTTGAAATACATAAGTTGCCTTTGTGAGATCATCAAGCTTCAATTCAATTTGCTTTTGACTTGTAAACTTATATTGACCTTGCTTGATTTAGGTTTTAATTATAAAATATACATGTATTTATTCCTTTTCTATATATTATTTTTGTGCCAAAAACCTTGTGCTCGAGTGGCATTACTATCGTTCTCCCAATTGGGAAGTCACAGGTTCGAACCCCATTGGGGCCGTTGACTCTTCAAAGTTTTTTCGTCATCTGGATATTTTTTCCTCTTGATTGTGTTAACTTTATATCCATTCCCATATGTTTATTGTTTTTTTCTTTTTTAATCTTTCTAACATTTCCCTTTCCTAATGTGGAATTACAGATTCTCCAAAGCTACGGAGATCTTTTGGAGAAGAGTACACTTCAGCTGCAAGGTAAAGGAAATCTAAAGATTGCGCTCTCTGGGCTGGCTCAATGCTTATCACTGTTGCCATACAAAAATAGGAGTGCAGGTCTCTCATCAGATAAGAATGTATGCACTATGAGTCCTTCCATATCCAGTTGTTTTACTTTTGAAGAGATTTGTGCAAGATAGTCTTTTTTTTATTTTTACTTTTTAAGTTTTATTTTTACTTTTATGAAGACTTGAACTGGCAAAAGGGCTAATCTAATTTTTTATGACTAAAAGTAGTACTCTGTACTTATTATTTACTGAGTATTTAATACTTTTGTCCCAAAATAAAGCTTTTGTTTTGATTTACGATGTTTGACTGCAATCATTATCAATTCAATATATTTAGAAAATGGTGTAGAATTTAAAAGAAGTGGTGACTTGATTATTTTATCTTATCAAACGATCAATAAAATTGTGTAAAGAAAGAAGATATAGTATGACCCAGTGAATATTGAAGAGGAACTTTATTTTGGGACGGAGGGAGTAGTAGTAGTAGTAGTAGTAGTAGTAGTAGTAATAATAATAATAATAATAATAGTAAATGATGAGGTTTAACTGATTGACCTATACAAAGTAATGGTTGCCAAATATAGTGTTCACACCTACTTTAGATAAAATGTATATCACCACACATGCTTCCATAGTCTATTATGCTTGGGGCTACACATGTATAGTTGTATGGATCCACCCGGTGGTTGTAATCTCCTTCAGAGCTTCTTCCCAATTCTTCTTTGAATTTTGCTGCTAATGTTGATTGCCATTTTTGATATATTTAAGCTTGGGTTTGGAAAGGGAGGGGAGTGGACTGGTCGAGTATATGGAGGAGGATGAAGGGTTGATTTTTAAGATGGTTTAAAGGCATAAGAATAGGGGAGAAAAAGGGGGATACTGGTTGTGCTTTTTAGGAGGGCCGAAAATTTGGAAGGGAAAATAAGAGGGGAAAAGGGATAAAAACCAAGTAGGTTTTAAGAGATATAACACACTCTTATCCTCACTTGGGGTTTGAGTCTAGAATTTAATTAAGATATTACACACTCAATTAAATAACTAGAACCTAACACTCACATTTAAGGAAACCAACCTTAAGATATAGAAATTAGGATTTGAAAACAGAATACAACCAGTGTATTTCTATCTTGAAATGAAGAATAAAAATCTGAGCATTACAATAGGCCTATGGCCGAAATTTAAAGGCACTCATACAAAGGAAAATACTAAGCTATTTCTTCCACAAATCCTAGAAAATGCAGTCATGTGCTTGAGTCCTTTCATGGAATAAAATCAGGGAAAATGGGGACAGGGATTCATGAATGAA